GGAGAGAATCCCATGAAGTCATTGGATACTTTCATTAGTTTTGTTAGTTAATACTGGGTTTTATTAGAACACTTGTTACTGGTGTTTTGATACAGGAGACTGTGGGGGATTTTTAAGTCTCATAGAATCATGTCAGGTTTTCCATTCTAACACACATTCCAGGGACCATCACAGAGCTGTAAAATTTCTCTTTTTAAACACAAAGTTCATCCAATGATGTTTCGTTCTCTCATTGTAGCCTCCTTCTGAAGAAATAAAAACAGGCGAAGATGAAGATGAGGAAGATAATGATGCTTTATTAAAGGAAAACAATGAAAGTAAGATTTGCATGTTCTCAGTCTTTTCAGTTTCTCTCTTGATGTGTGTTGCAGAAGCTGTGTTTTATCATAGTTTCTACTGAGGGTCACCAGTCCTGGTTACCCCAGTGCTTCTGACTTGAACCCAAATTGGTACCAAAGGTGCAGCCTTTTTCAGGACACCGGGCACCAGTAGCAGCCCCTCAGTCTCATGCCCTGCAGTGCTGAAAGCGTCCTACTTGTTGAAGCTGGATGTAGAGCCTCTTCCACATTTTCTGCTGCTTGGTGTATGTTTACAGTCTTAGTAGGTGTTTAGAGCTAAAATGCCAGCATTGCTGTGTAAAAAAAAAAACAACAAAAAAAAACAAAAAAAACACCCCAAAACCTACTCGAGTGTTCCTCAGGCCTGCTTTCCTGGTCTTTCTGCCCTATAATAGCCACAGATAAGTGCTTCCCTCTAGCCCCTGCTGGGGCTGGTAGTTACAGGGCTTTCAGAAATGGATATATTCCAACTGAGATGTTTAGATGTTTACTTCCTCTTCATTTAAACTATCTTAAAGGCAAAAGCTTCTCTGTGAGAAGAGCAACCTTACTGACCTGTCATCTCTTGTTCCTCTCCGTGAACCAGTCCTTCCATTTTTTGTCTCTTGCCTGTAACCCTGGTATGTCGTGCTTCTAAATGTCCTTTCCTGTCTTCTGTGTCTGTGAATCTGCCTTCTTCCATCCTCATTCATGCCTTCATCTCACAGCACCTTCTCCCTTGTGTGTTGTACCTCTGTGCTAGCCCTTGGATCCACCGTGGGCAGTTGAGGTTTGCAGGGCCTGGAACTGGCACACTGGGAACTGCTGGTTACCTGTGATTTTGTTGGAAGACTTCTCTGTTTGTGGAAAGCCTGGTGTGGGCCTCTGTGGATCTCTTCTGTTGCCCTTTCCCATCCAGCACCTGACCTTTTCCAAAGTCTCTTTGCCAACAGTGGAGTTCTCTCCTCTTCAGCTTAATGCTGCCTGAAACAGCCTTTGCAGCTTTGCTGTGTTGAATTTACATTTTACTTTAAATCTTGTCTTAAAGCAAAGGTGGGCGAGCTGTGCTCTGCTGTACACCGTGGTGCCTGGAAATAATGGAGGTGATCTGGGTGCTCTTGTGGTTTTGTCCTTTGGGGATCTTCCATTCTTTCCCCTCGATGCTGTGGGTTTAGCTCAGATAAATGGGTGTGGCTGACTGATAACCACTCAAGAGAGTTGAAGCTTCTACTCCATGGCAGCTCACTCTTCAGGTGGCATGAGGGTGAGAGATTTATTAACAATTAGGAATGTGATTAATTTCTGTGCATAAGTAATTCAGTCTTCAGGGTTTTTTCTTTAAAACAGTGTGAAATAAACATAGGTGGTAAGCCATGGGTTGTAGACCATGATAGAAATGTACAAACCCACTCGTGTACTCACTGCAGCACTTGGCTTCTCAGCAGAGCTCTGTATTCTGTGGTTTTTATCTTGATACCAGAATGACAGAAAATTCCTTGAAGTACTGACTGTGTGTGAAAGTTACTGTGCTGTTCACACTCCTGCTGCTGGTAGGAACATGAGGCTTGAGTAACACAGTAAAAGGGAAGCAAACTATTTTTTTTACCTGGGTTAACTCCACCTAAAGTGACTAAAATAAGTCTGAAAGACGATTAAATGTTAAAGACCACTCTGTATTTTAACATTATAGTTGACTTGTATCTAAAAGTGTAGGCTACCTGTCAAAATCCATGTTTTCATTTGGAGGAGGCAGTTCTGTTGTACTTCAGACTTTAGCAATTCTCTCAAACAGGAGGTACATAAACCCCAAGATTTTCTTTATCACGGGCAGTTAGGGACATTCCTATTGAAACCCAGGTACTCTGTAAAAATCAGTCTGTTCTCAGAGCTCTGAAGTAGATTTTCACAACTAAAGGAAAAGTGTAAGTCAGTAAATAAATAGGAGGTTTAAAATGGGGCAGATCAGGGAAGATTCACGTGTGGTGTCTGGAGATGTTCCCTGTGTCTCACTGATTCTTTGGGGTTTTTTTGATTTATTTTTTTTCCCCAGGTCCAGAGGTGCAACGGGACAAAGCCATGACAGGCGAACAAATTGAGTTGTTTGCCAACAGGCTTGGGGAGCAGTGGAAAGTCTTGGCCCCTTACTTGGAAATGAAAGATTCTGATATACGGCAGATCGAGTCAGACAGCGAGGACATGAAGATGAGAGCCAAGCAGCTGCTGGTTGCCTGGCAGGATCAGGAGGGCGCGCATGCAACCCCTGAGAATCTGATCACTGCGCTGAGCAAAGCCGGGTTAAATGACCTTGCGGAAAGCCTGACCAACGACACTGAAAGCAGCAGCTAACTCGCTTCAGCTGGTAACTCGTTTGACTGTGGTGGTGGTGGTGGTGGTGGTGACTGTCCTCACTCTTGTTGTCATTGTTAATTGTGACTGTTGTTGTTAATTGCTACTGTTGTCAGTAGGTAATGTTTTTGATAGGTATTTTATGTTCAATAAACGATAAAGCTTTTTAATAATACTGTCCAGTTGTCCAGGTTTTCTGAGAAGAGGATTAGTCATCCTGATCCAGAAAGAGGAGGCTTCATTTTGGATGGTGGGAACATGAAAGAGGAGGAGAGCAAAGGCAGCTTTCTGGGCAGGCGGCAGTAGGAGGGTTTGGCATCAGCAGGGCTTGGGTTGGGGTGGAGATCCAAATCACAGTATTTGCTTTCAGTGAAGAACCAGTGCCCTCAGAGGGGTGCTGCGGTCGCTCTGCTCTCCTGCTGA